TTAATTAATGCCATTAAATGCAATGAAGCCTACTCATCCTTGACTTTTCAATGCTTATCCATAGGCAAAATAACCATTTTCCCCTAAGCCTCTTTATGGATAATTGATTCACCGTTCCAAATGAATTAACTATTTGCCCTTAGTTAGATTTTATGCTTTTTAACATAAAATAAACATTTAAGGACTATTTTGAGTTAGGAACATACCTTTGACATCTTGGGTATTACATGGATGTTCCGAGTTAAACATTCAAGATACTTAGATTCTGATTTCCAATCACATATTGATGATAGAAAGTCTACGTCAGGGTACATTTTTATATGTAATGGAGGTGCTGTTAGTTGGAAAAGTTCCAAACAGACAACTACAGCTGACTCCACTACAGAAGCTGAATACATTGCTGCTTCAGAAGCATGAAGGAGGCTGTTTGGATACGAAAGTTTGTAATTGAACTTGGTGTGGTTCCAAACATGGCTTACCCGATAAGCATGTTCTGTGACAATACTAGAGCTATTGCACAAGCAAAGGAACCAAGGGCACACACAAAATCCAAACACATTCAGCGTAAGTATCACATTTTGAGAGAATTCGTTGGAGCTTGAGAGATTACAATTCTGAAGACTCCTTCAGCAGAAAATGTAGCTGATCCATTGACTAAGGCGATGACACTGAAGCAATTGACCATCATCTTGAGAAGATGTATGAGATACAACATCGAATGACTTTAGTGCAAGTGGGAGTTTGTTAGTGTATATTAGTGTATGCCCTAGAAACCATTCGTGTTGTCGGTTTCAGAGCATTTTGTCTTGTACTATATATATCATAAATAATGGAAGAAAGAGTTCTTCAATTCATATAATAAATTGCTTCCTTTATTCAGTCATCATTTAAAATAAAGTATGTATAGAATTGTCCAGATGATTCATTTAATCGGTAAATGAATTATCGAAAAGGGTTCCCTACAGAAGCAATATAATTTGGGCAACTATATTGCACAGTAGGCATATCGAATGCTTCCGAAAGATATCATGTATGATATAGTACGGATGACGATGATAGTCATGTCACTGGGACATTGGTATGGATTAACGGTTGGTGAACTGTTTTCGAACGTGACCGAATAACGACAGATCACTTGGAAAAGCATGTAGTCAATGATTTATCGTTTGGTTATATTAGTGCACGATGTAGTCCTTTGACCTAGACATTGTAGCGGATCTGATATGGATGTGTATGGTTCATACGGTGTATAAGTACAGACTATATGTTTCGTATAATAAAGCCTATTTGGTCATGTGTTGTTCATATGCGGAAACGAACGATGGTCAATAGGGGATCCATTGACTCGAAAATATAGGATCGGGAGTACCGCTGACTCCATCCGGATTCGAGTTCCTAGACGAACATTGATAAATGTCGGAAAACAGAATCTCTGGCCAGAGTCTATTATTAGTCATACAAAAGCAAGTTTGTGATGACAAATTCCGGACATATTGATCGACGATTCGGTAAAAGATCGAGTTTAAGATTTTGACGTTCCATGAATCCTGCTCGATCAGATATCTCAATGGGTAGACTTTACCTGCATGGTACATATGATCTGAAATGGGTTCGATGAAGTATTCTTCATCGTGGTTTAGCGACTATGACACATTGCTAGATGTTTACCATAGTCGTTGGGCCTCCGGACAGGTTTTCGGATTCATCCAGAATCGGCTCACGGCTAATCCACGTGGACCTACATGGTCACACCAATAGCCTTGAGAAGTTAGAGAAGGATGAGAGAGAGAAATGATTATCCGAAGAGGGCTAGCACCTTCCGAGGGTAATAACGGGATTTCTATGGTAATATTACATAGAAAATTGTTTGTGAACATTTTAAGGGTTAAAATGGTCAAGTAAATTAATTATATTTATATTATATCTTAAAGTGTTAAGATTAAATCTTGAAGTGTTAGATTAAATCTTGAAGTGTTAAGATTAATGAGATGAACAAAAATAACCTTTTAATAGTTAAAGGGTAAAAAGGTAAATTTATGGGTTGTTAGAAACTAGTTTAGTTTACATGGGCCCTTGAATAATATTGATTATTCAAAGGGTAGCATAATATTCGAGGGGTCCCTTTATAAAATAAGATTTTCTATGGGCTTGGAAGTGAAAAATAAATAATTGCAAAATTGCCCAAGTATATATAAATGCAAAAGGTTGCATTTTTGCTCATATAACACACATTGTTCACTCAAAGCAAAACTAAAACTCTCTCTAAAAGCCACGACCACTCTCTAAACCTCTCAAGGTGGTGTTAAAATGTGGAGGTCTCATCTTTTTAGGGCTAATCTTCATCAATCCAAAGCAAAGGAGAAGATATAATTTCTTCTCAAGCTTTGTTTTTAAAACCGTTTTTTTGAATCCATTTTTTATGCTTTCTTCTCCATTTCCACCACTCTTTATGCATGCATGTTGTTCTTTCAGTTATGTGCTTGGGTCGAGCCCAGGTGAACTCGGGTCGAGCCCAGGTGAACTCAAGTCGAGCCAAGGTCGTGCTCGTTGTGTGCTCAGGTCGTGCTCGTTCAGATCGCAATCAGCTCCTAGCTCTCAGCACTCAATCGTGCCAGGAATAGTTCGAGCTCTTCAGTTCGAGACTGCAGCCAGTTAGATCAAAGACTTTAGTTTCTGAAGTGCGATTATGCACTTCAAAAACTAAGGGGCTTCTGTTATGCCTAAAAAGTCAAGCCTATGTCAGCACAATTAATGTCTCTTTGTACCAGCTGCCAAGCCCATATCCCCAAAGATATTCTCACCAACTTTATCTCATTTCAAAGAGATAAATGGACGAGAGCCTTTCATGTGTCAAGGCAGTTTGCAAAACACTCATTACATTGAGTGCAAATGTGAATAAATGGGCACTCCTCTTCCCCAAGAAGGAGGCTGGGCTGAGATTTAAACTTCAATTCTTTATCTCTCTGTAAAAACACTATATTTCTTCATCTTTGTATGCCTTACGGGCAGAATCATAGAAATAGTCAGAGATCAATAAAATAATAGTGGATGTAGGAGTCGCTTGTTGAGCATCCGAACCACTATAAAAACCCCTCTTGCCAATCTTTTATTTATATTTTCTGCAAAATATATAATCTCAGCTCCATATTCAAATCTCATGGATCCATCACGTGTGATTCCTAAGTCCGCTTAGTGCTTCTCACGTGCGAGGCGTTGGCATCCAAAATCAAGCGTCAACAGGTATTATTTCCAATTTTCAACTGTTTTGCCTTGTCTTTTATTGATTTTCTTGATTTTCCAATACCTTTAAATAGTTTATTTTTTAATTAGTTTATTATAAATTAGAATTTAGTTAATTCAAAGTCTTTATTCGATTATCTATTAGTCCAAGTATAATGAAATGTTTTAAAACCCAACCCTGGGTGAAACCCGGCAAAGCTTTCGGGTCCCGGGTTGACCGGTTGATAAAAAATTTTAAAATTCAGCAAATACACCCCTAACAATTCTTTAAGTCCCTATATGTTTGAAATTTATCAAACACACCCCAAATGCAAATCGACCGGCGACTGATTGGTAGCGGAGACACCCCAGATGCAACCTCAATCATCCCTTAAGCCCATATCCATTAAAATCTACCTAAGATCTGGCCGAAATATGTTCGATTTCGGCCAGATATCACCGATGCCGACGTTGGCATTCTAGGCCAGATCTCATCCACGTCGGCATCGACAACCCTCCCCATCACCCAGGAATTACTCCCCTCTTCCTCCCAACCAAACCTCCTCTCAACCCACCCTCGTTAGCCTAGCCAATCGCCGGAAAAATCCCATTGTTGCCGCTGCCAGATTTGTTCGATTTCCGGTCGATTTACTCACCGGAAATCAACACTGTCACCACCATTGCATTCATCGACACTTCATCTTCAAAAGCCCCAAGATTCCGACTGTCAATTGTTCATCGATCATCCTCCCAAATCCTAGGGTTTTGGGTGAATAGGAAAAGTATAAACTCGGCCTGTTTAAGCTTCCGAGTCCTGGTTGAACAGGCCGGGCCGGGCCGGGTTTTAAAACAATGGTATAAAGATACATTTTTTCTTTGTTTATTTAATTAATTAGGAATATTGATTTTTTTATGTTAATTAGTAAAAATGAAAAACATTATAAATAATAGTGATGTGATATTGATAACATTATAAGTAAATATTAAGATTATTTAACTTTAAACAATTTTATAGCATTAATCCTAACTTTTTAGGCGAGGTTAACTATTTTTTCTTTTTTTTCTTTTTTAATATTTGACTTTTTGGCTAATTAAAAAATAATAAAAAATTTATAAAGTAAAATATTTAAGGATATTTTCGTCTTTTCAGTAAAATATTAACAAAAAACGTAACATAACCTAATAAAGGGTGGGAAAGTGTCATTTTGAAACTTGATGGGTGGGAAAATGTCGTTCTCTCTTTTAGAAAGGCTCAAATTTAAGGCTAGCCTCCCAATTCTCCTGGACAACCATTATTTCACAGTTGGTCCATAGTTGTGTCTTGTCTGTTCTTTTAATTGTCTATCTTGGTGAATTTCCTTTACAGAAGATTACCACTGTTACATTGGAAAATAGTAAACATGTATTCTTCATTAGTTAATGGGGCAACAGCTGCGTCACTTTAAATCACTAAAAATTCAGATCGCCAAACTTTCTCCAGACAAGTGTATTGGTGACGGATTCGTTAACAGATTCCATTAATATTGTGAGACTCATGAGAGACGTGGAACTAGTTGGATTGATCAACGACATTAGCAAAACAGAGAAGGCTAAGTACCGAATGCAGAATCAGTTAGTTTCCCAACCCATTAAACAGAGAAGGGACGTTAAAACTCGCATCTTTTCAACAAGCACAACCTGGTAGCTATTTTCTTTCTTGGGACCTTACAGGGAATATGAAGTGCTTTGGACCATCCCTCCAAAGTTGGACCAAGCAGAATTCCGTGAAACATAAGCAATAGTGAAAAAATATACATACACAACTGAATATTCATCTCCAATGAATTAACAGTACTAGCATATCATGCAAAATTTCAACAACACAAACAATAATGTTACCATTTCGGATAACTAAAATTAAGATTTAACATGGAGCTCAAGCACGTTCTCTATGACATTACAAAAGTAGAATGTTCACCAAAAAAGTAACTTTTCACAAATAAAGTGAGAAACACCTATCTGATCGAATTTTGGACCACAGAATTATAATGCTCACCAAGACCAAATGCATGCTTATGATATGACAGCATAATACTTGCACTAGACAAATCCGACCCACCATCAGATTTGTACTCCTTCCCCATTTCCACATCAGGGAACGATCCTGAAAATATCCTGATATGCTTTCTCAGACAGTGAGTTAAGGCTCTGAGCTCTAGCTCCCCTCCCCATGCAGCTGTTGACTCAACTTCTTTACAGTAATTCTCAAATCTCTCCCCTGGTGAATTATCAGAATCTTCATCCAACATATTTTCCGACAGGTAGAACGGTAAGAAATCAGATGCATGGTCCATCATATAAGCAGCTACCATTTCCCGAAGTACTTGGTAAGTGTAAGGAGAAGAACCTCCTGAAAGATGGGCCAGCTGATCCTCAACAGCTCGATAGAGACAGTGTCCATCTGGCTTAATTTCATTAACAGTCAATCCAAGGGGTTCAAGCTTTTTTTCCAATTTCTTGTCTTCAATCATTCGGTCACTTACAATGTTACTCTGCTCTTCTTGAATTCTTTGTTCTCTAGCTGCTTCTTGCTGAGCTCTTTTCTCTCTCCTTTTAGCACCCTTGCTGGGCTTAGAATGGTCAGGTTGGTTGGTGACAGAAACTCCAGCAATGGCCTTCACCAAATTGTCAAGATTGGTTTTCTCATTTTCATTACTACTGCTATAACCTAATGAAGCAAGTTCTTTAGCATGCTTCTCTTTAAGCTTTGCAGAGAGTTGAGATATCTCCTCTTCCACCTGCTTCTTCTTAGCTTTCTGTTCAGCCTTGCTACCCCTGGCTGCTGCTTTCTTCAGTTCAGTTTCCTTGTTCTGAAGCTGTGATATCTCTTTCCTGTACTCAAAAGGAAGAAATAAGGGTATTAGGACTAACCTGCAAATCTAAGAAATAGCTCAGAAAAAGAAACCAAAAAGTTTGAAGGCACGAACATCAACTATGGTCAATAACAGAACTCTAGAATGCTAAACAAGATTAATTAACTGGTTTAAATTCATTGGAACAGCATCTCCATATATAAAGAGAGAATTTACAATGTAGACAATAAATGATAATATTACCTGTGCCTAGAAAGCATTTCATCACGAGTTTCTTGCTCCTTTTGAGATGCTTTGACAGACTTTGCTTCAGATGGTGCATCCTTTATTTCTTGATTGTCTGCCATTTGGGCCCCTAAAACTAAGGTAGAAAAGAATGCAAAGAGCATTATCAAAACCTTCTGAAAGTATCTACAAAAATTAAATATATAATGCCTGCTGTGAAGGATTGGGAAGAATTGATATAAATTAAAAGGTTAAAAAAATAAAATAAAAAAGACATCCCACCAAGTGCTCAATGAACCAGATCTATCTCACACCAACCAATCACCAGAAAATTTATATTGCAAACACAAATGTGGGTAGACCAAACATATTTCTTTGTTGCACAAAAAGCAGCATTGAGAACATCAACTTCTTATCATCAAGCACCAAAAATAACATAAAAAGAAATGTACTCTGGAATGCATTTTGGATACATCACAACATAAAAAATTTAATAAATTTTCGTGATTTGAATAAATTGACAAATTTTACAGGACATATCTCTTAGAATTGTGATGCATTGTGTTGGTAACTGCCACAATGGCTAATAATTATCATTCTTTCATCAATTTGATAAGGCAAACATAATGAAAACAAAAATGATGAGTTCCTTTCCATACAAAGAGATGAAGACCTTAATCAATAACCCACTCTGTTATTTTCAGGAAAAGATTTAAATACAAAAATTACATAAGAACCAATCACAAACTATGCATAATCTCACAAAGAAAAATAATGGAAGACTAAACAAGAGATTATAGCATTTATATCCTAAGACTAAAGTAAACAAAAATTAAACCACAAGTAGGAAACGTTCATCAGTCTCGCAATCAATTATCAAACAAAAAGTGGCTAATAGTTCGCCTCAACTTTATTCATGCAACATAAACTAAAGATAATTTATAATTAAGAAGTCCAAATTCATCCGGGCTAAATATACTCAGACAAGCAAATAATAAAATGTAAAGTACAATAAACAGAATACATGAACAATTTTTCTTTATCAGCAATATATTCGTTGCATTTCTTTCATTATCATTTGCATAAAACTCATAAATAACATGATAACATTAAAAAAAAACGCGTACAAAAAATGATATCTTTATATCAGAAATTGTATATAACTGAGAGATTCGAAGAGAACTCACAAAGCAAAGATACAGGGGAAAGAGATGGAATCCCTAAGAGTACGAGATATTTTGAGTTAGGGTTTTTACGCGTAAAACCTAATAGATCTCCGATGAGCTTTGTCAGCACCCAGCAGACTCTCACACTATTCTTTTCCTTTGTGTTTTTTTTCTTCAATTCTTTGCTATATGCCCGAAGATATTACCAGGAAAGTAGAAAATAAAAATAAATAAAAAAAGCTAAAATTTCTTAGCGCTGTGAAGTGTGAAAGGGTGATGTGAACCATGTGATAGCCTATATCATTCTTGGGCTTAGCTATTCTTTTTGGATGGGTCCAAACGTTAATTATCCAGAATTTATTATTGGCCCAAATGGCCCACAAAAAGATAGCAACCAAGACCAGTATCTCTATTTTTTTTTTTTTTAAATAAATCTCTCAAATTTGACTGAATAATACTAAACTCATCTAAAAATAATGTGATTAAAAGAGTTAAAACTAAGAAAAAAAAAAAAAATTTCAAGGATAGAGAAGGAATTCGCATCTACAACGGTACCCATATAGGGTTGTGTAAATATATAGTTAAATAATTTTTATTTTTTAAATAATGAAGAGAGTATTTATCTCTCAAATTGACAAAGAAAATGATTATTTTTCTGTAAAATTAAAGTAAAATAGGTGATTGAAATGATTAACAATGACATTAATTGAATTATAGACTTTGAGAGATATTTTCACCAATTAGGCTTAGCCTATAAACAGTATATCAGTGTTGTGATTCATATTCTACCTCTTTTTTTTTTTAAACAGGGTATTTAGACTAGTTTGTGTGCACTCCAGTTAATCTCAGAAGTCCATTGAATACTCTATATGATATTTCAGTGCAATGATTCATATTCTACTAATTTTTTTTCTTTGGTAAACAGGGTGTTTGGACTAATATGTGCATACCTTAACTAATCTCAAAAGTCCATTAAAATGAAGAATCAGAGTAAAAGTAATAATACTGGTCGACATCAACATGCATGTGGCGCTCATTACTTTGATACAAGATTCTTTTCTTGCACATGTTGATCAAGCAGAAGATGAATGTAATTGTAAGTAGGTCGAATCTGTTGTGTTGGAAGCTGCATTTTTTGTTTTAATTTGTTCTTTTTCTTTTGTGTAGTTCAAGTACTGCCCTTTCCCATCTTTCCAAGGCCATCTTAAACACCCTAAAGATTAAAACTTATCACATTCATATTCCACTGGTCCCCGGGGATTTGATTAATGTATGTGTTGTTTTAGAGATTTACTAAATTACGCTTTGTTTCAGAAGAAAACGGTTTTTTATTCTTGAAGATTGAGGCTGGCTTAGAATGAATACCAGATTACTACTGCCTACTGGCCCCACATTTCTTTTCAGGTGTTTGACATTCCAAATTTTTAAGATCAAAAGTATTCGTCATTTTGGATGGTTATGGTCTAATATCAACAAAAAGAGTATTATTCGTCCTGTTTCTGTTGCCATAATTTTATTATAATACGCGATGCTACCAACCATAGCCAATCAACAAAAAGAGTATTTTATTATAATACACGATGCTACCAACCATAGCCGAAAGGGATTTATGCTAATTAATAATTTATAAAGTACTGTTTTTGTATTCCAGCGTTGCTCAGAGCCTCAGACTAGTTGTACGGACATTCTCGAGAAGATTTAGATTATGGTTATAGTTGATAGAAGCGATGCAAGTGGGTTTACAGCACAAAGGGTCACAATCAAGCAAATCATAGGGAAGCATTTTTCTTATCCAAACAAATATCTGGAAGAACTTCTTCTTTTTATCCTATCTATTGTTTTTATATTATTTTTGGATTAAACAATGTAATCCACCACTCTCACCAACAGTTATAAATAAGGCTTGTTGAAATCTCGAAGTCCACCATAGCCATACAGAGTTTTCCTACACTAATCTTGCTCACCTGCTTCCTCTACATACAAGCTTTTTTCTTCTTCAGTTTTTCACAAATTTGACTTCCTTTTGCTGCTGTCTTCTGGCTTTTTATTAAACCTGAGCTGCATTGCTGAGCAAAATCTTTGCTAAATCATACAAAGATTATCAACCAACATGGACACTGTAAGAGATTTAGCATCAAAGAAGGCTGCTGTGATTTTCACAAGGAGCTCATGTTGCATGTGCCATAGCATCAAGACACTGTTTTATGAACTTGGTGCAAGCCCTGCTATTCATGAGCTTGACCATGATGCAAATGGGAGAGAAATTGAGCGGGCTCTAAGGGCCCAAGGATATGGGTCAGTCCCCGCTGTGTTTATTGGAGGAAGATATGTAGGTTCAGCTAAAGATGTCATTTCCCTTCACGTTGATGGATCTCTGAAGCAGATGCTCATCGATGCAAAAGCCATCTGGTTCTAGCTACCTTCTTACTACAATAACACAGTCCTTGTACTACGTTTGTACTACGTTTGTAGTAATATGAATATAGTTTCAATACCATGTCGAAAGCAATGTTATATTATGAACTTTTGACAACATTGTATGGCAGAATATCATATTACTCAGTGAAATAGCTAAAGAGTTTTGTAATTACGCACAGATTTTGATTTTCATAATTGCTTTCATTCCAATGCATAAAGAAGACACATCACAAAACATATAAGCATCATTTTTATCTCTCTTAAACTATCTAGGATTCTTTCATATCAGAATTCAAGATAAGCAAGCCATCATCAACCTGAAATCTCAAATCAAACTTGCATGATCAGACAAATTCCTATTTGAGAATATTTAATGAAATGATTCCTATGCAAGCTACACTATGATAGAATAAAATTTACCAAAATGCATCCATATATATTTTAAATAAAAAAAAAAATAGTAATCAGAAATGTTCTCATGGATAACTTTTCTCACATATGAAAGTAATTAATCCCCTGTATCATGAAGTGACAATTGCATTATCAGAGGAGAGGAAGTGTCTCAGTGTCACCATCAAGGTGATAATAGAAGTTCCAGATGATTGTATTTTCTTTTATGGCTTTAATTATAAGAACGCCAATTTGATGATTTGTTTACTTTCGGAGTTTGTCTTCTGAAAGATACCTTCTCACCAGGTAATTAACCGAGAGACATCTGCATAATCACTTTCCTAAGTGAGGGACAAAAAGGAGATGCGAAAATTTTCTGTCTCTCTAGTATTCCTCCATTTCCCAAAGCCAAAAACTTTTCCCATATAAATTTCCTGGATTTAGGTAGTTACTGACTATGTGCTTATCCGTATAGAATATGCTTGCGCATATTTAGCTATATCTCGGTGGATATTAACGAATTTATGAAATAGTTGAATAATAATGGCTGAGTGCGTGTGCAGAGCTACATATCTCAAAGAATTAATTATGGTTCTATGCAGTTGCCGATGACTAGTGATTGGGCTCGGCCCTGAAAAGAGATTTCTTTGATGAAGGAAGAGTTGCATATGTACTTGTATTGCACACTCTATATTCGTCCATACATATGAAAGCAATATTTACAGAAGAGCATAGTAACTTTTCACAAATAAAGTGAGAAACACCTATCTGATCGAATTTTGGACCACAGAATTATAATGCTCACCAAGACCAAATGCATGTTATGATATGACAGCATAATACTTGCACTAGACAAATCCACCACCATCAGATTTGTATCTTCCCATTTCCACATCAGGGAAGGATCCTGAAAATATCCTGATATGCTTTCTCAGACAGTGAGTTAAGGCTCTAGCTCGCTCCCCTCCCATGCAGCTGGATCAACTCTTTACAGTAATTCTCAAATCTCTCCCCTGGTGAATTATCAGAATTTATCCAACATATTTTCCGACAGGTAAACGGTAAGAAATCAGATGCATGGTCCATCATATAAGCAGTACCATTTCCAGAGTACTTGGTAAGTGTAAGGAGAAGAACCTCCTGAAAGATGGGCCAGCTGATCCTCACAGCGATAGAGACAGTGTCCATCGGCTTAATTTCATTAACAGTCAATCCAAGGGGTTCAAGCTTTTTTTCCAATCTTGTCTTCAATCATTCGGTCACTTACAATGTTACTCTGTCTTCTGAATTCTTTGTTCTCTAGTGTTCTTGCTGAGCTCTTTTCTCTTCCTTTTAGCACCCTTGCTGGGCTTAGAATGGTCAGGTTGGTTGGGTGACAGAAACTCCAGCAATGGCCTCACCAAATGTCAAGATTGGTTTTCTCATTTTCATTACTACTGCTATAACCTAATGAAGCAAGTTCTTTTAGCATGCTTCTCTTTAAGCTTCGCAGAGAGTTGAGATATCTCTCTTCCACCTGCTTCTTCTTAGCTTTCTGTTCGCCTTGCTAACCTGGCTGCTGCTTTCTAGTTCAGTTTCCTTGTTCTGAAGCTGTGATATCTCTTTCCTGGTACTCAAAGGAGAAATAAGGGTATTAGGACACCTGCAAATCTAGAAAGAAATAGCTCAGAAAAAAACAAAAGTTTGGGGCCACTAAAAAATAAGTAGAAAAGAATGCAAAGAGCATTATAAAAACCTTCTGAAAGTATCTACAAAAATTAAATATATAATGCCTGCTGTGAGGATTGGAAGAATTGAATAAATTAAAAGATAAAAAAATAAAATAAAAAGGACATCCCACCAAGTGCTCAATGGACCAGATCTATCTACACCAACCAATCACCAGAAAATTTATATTGCAAACACAAATGTGGGTAGACCAAACATATTTCTTTGTTGCACAAAAAGCAGCTTGGAACATAACTTCTTATCATCAAGCACCAAAAAAAACATAAAAGAAAGTACTCTGGAATGCATTTGGCACAAAACATAAAAAATGTAATAAATTTTCGTGATTTGAATAAATTGACAAATTTTACAGGACATATCTCTTAGAATGTGATGCATTGTGTTAGTAACTGCCATAATGGTAATAAGTATCTTCTTTCATCAATTTGATAGGCAAACATAATGAAAACAAAAATGATGAGTTCTTTCCATACAAAGAGATGAAGACCTTAATCATAACCCACTGTTATTTTCAGGAAAAGATTTAAATACAAAAATTACATAAGAACCAATCACAAACTATGCATAATCTCACAAAGAAAAATAAGGAAGACTAAACAAGAGATTATAGCATTTTAAATACTAAACAAACAAAAATTAAACCACAAGTAGGAAACGTTCATCAGTCTCGCAATCAATTATCAAACAAAAAGTGGCTAATAGTTCGCCTCAACTTTATTCATGCAACATAAACTAAAGATAATTATAATAAGAAGTCCAAATTCACCGGGCTAAATATACTCGACAAAGCAAATAATAAAATGTAAAGTACAATAAAACGAATACATGAACAATTTTTCTTTATCAGCAAATATTCGTTGCATTTCTTCATTATCATTTGCATAAAACTCATAAATAACATGATAACATTAAAAAAAAAGCGTACCAAAAATGATATCTTTATATCAGAAATTGTATATAACTGAGAGATTCGAAGAGAACTCACAAAGCAAAGATACAGGGGAAAGAGATGGAATCCCTAAGAGTAGAAGATATTTGAGTTAGGGTTTTTACGCGTAAACTAATAGATCTCCGATGGCTTTGTCAGCACCAGCAGACCTCACATATCTTTCTCTTTGTGTTTTTTTTCTTATTCTTTGCTTATGCCCGAAGATATTACGGAAAGAGAAAATAAAAAATAAATAAAAAAAGCTAAAATTTCTTAGCGTGTGAAGTGTGAAAGGTGATGTGAACATGTGATGCCTATATATTCTTGGGCTTGCCATTCTTTTGGATGGGTCCAAACGTTAATATCCAGAATTTATTATTGGCCCAAAGGCCCACAAAAAGATAGCAACCAAGACCGTATCTTATTTTTTTTTTTTTTAAATAAATCTCCAAATTTGACTGAATAATACTAAACTCATCTAAAAATAATGTGATTAAAAGAGTTAAAACTAAGAAAAAAAAAAAAAATTTCAAGGATAGAGAAGGAATTCGCATCTACAACGTTACCCATATAGGGTTGTGTAAATATATAGTTAAAAATTTTTATTTTTAAATAATGAGAGAGTATTTACCTCTCAAATTGACAAAGAAAGGATTATTTTCTTAAAATTAAAGTAAAATAGGTGATTGAATGATTAACATGACATTAATTGAATTATAGACTTTGAGAGATATTTTCACCAATTAGCTTAGCCTATACACGTATATCGTGTTGTGATTCATATTTACCTCTTTTTTTTTTTGAACAGGGTATTAGCTAGTTGTGTGCACTCCAGTTAATTCAGAGTCCATGAACTCTATATGATATTTCAGTGCAATGATTATATTCTACTAATTTTTTTTCTTTGGTAAACAGGGTGTTTGGACTAATATGTGCTACCTTAACTAATCTCAAAAGTCCATTAAATGAAGAATCAGAGTAAGAGTAATAAATGGTCGACATCAACATGCATGGGCGCTCATTACTTTGATCCGGAGACACCCCAGATGCAACCCCAATCATCCCTTGAGCCCATATCCATTAAAATCTACCCAAGATCTGGCCGAAATAGGTTCGATTTTGGCCAGATCTCACCGACGCCCGCGTCGGCATTACAGGCCAGATCTCATCCACGCCGACGTCGACAACCCTCCCCATCACCCAAGAATTACTCCCCTCTTCCTCCCGACCAAAACCCCCCTCACCCCACCCCCGTTAGCCTCGCCAATCGCCGGAAAAATCCCATTGTTGTCGCTGCCAGATTTGTTCGATTTCCGGTCGATTTACTCACCGAAAATCAACGCCGTCACCACCATTGCATTCACCGGCACTTCATCTCCAAAAGCCCTAAGATTTCGGCCGTCAATTGTTCACCGATCATCCTCCCAAATCCTGGGGTTTTAGGTGAATAGGAAAAGTATAAACTCGGCCTATTGAAGCTTTCGAGTCCCGGTTCAACTGGCCGGGCTGGGTTTTAAAACAATGGTATAAAGATACATTTTTTCTTTGTTTATTTAATTAATTAGGAATATTGAATTTTTTATGTTAATTAGTAAAAATGAAAGACATTATAAATAATAGTGATGTGATATTGATGACATTATAAATAAATATTAAGATTATTTAACTTTAAACATTTTTATAGCATTAATCCTAATTTTTTATGTGAGATTAACTATTTTTTCTTTTTTGAATTTTTAATATTTGACTTTTTGGCTAATTAAAAAATAATAAAAAATTTATGAAGTAAAATATTTAAGGGTATTTTTGTCTTTTCAGTAAAATATTAATGGAAAACGTAACAGAACCTAATGAAGGGTGGGAAAGTGTCATTTTGAAACTTGATGGGTGGGAAAGTGTCGTTTTGTCAAACCTTGGGTGGCAAAATGTTGTTCTCCCTTTTAGCAAGGCTCAAATTAAATGCTAGCCTCCCAATTCTCCTGGACAACCTTTATTTCACAGTTGGTCCATAGTTGTGTTCTTTTAATTGTCTATCTTGATGAATTTCCTTTACAGAAGATTACCACTGTTATATTGGAAAATAGTAAACATGTATTCTTCATTAGTTAATGGGGCAACAGCTG